GACGCCTACACAGTGCTCATGTGTACCGCGATCACATGTACGTTCTAATGGGGGAGCCATGCAGTACGTCAACGTGTTTCTGGTATTTAGACTTCAATACACACAAATGGCATCCCGTACATCTTTTGGTCTTTCGGGAAGCCTATAGTACCATTGATAGGCCATAGTGCGCAGGTAGAGGGTGATTATTTATATGTCTTTGGGGGATATCATACACATACGATGTCTCAGACGGGAAGCTTTGTCTACAGCAATTCCCTTTTCTACTACCACTTCCCAACGAACATGTGGCGTGAGGTATTACCATATTGTGGCCCTCGCCCCTTTCCACGTTACTCTTCTGCGATGGTTGTGCTGCAAGGACGTGTGTACATCCATGGCGGTGACAACGACGGAAATGTCTACTTTGAAGACTTTTGGTGCATTCACACTAAGACACAACTTCCGCGGTGGATAGATCTTACTTTGAGCTGCGGGAAGGCACATCCAAGCGCTCGCAGCGGCCACGCGTATGTTCTTGCTCAAGGCTCACTCTTTGTCTACGGTGGAGAGTTGCCAGGGGACACGGATGTGCTTTACTACTCAAATCGTTTCTATCGTTATCCTTTGGGCCTCTTCACACATTTGTCATTGACGGAGCTGGCCTCCCGCTGGCTGGCGAAATCCAATCAAGTGAATGTAAGGGTACTGCAAGAGTGCATTCCTCGCGGGCCGAGGGCGGCGTTGTCTCGCAACTCACCGGAGGCGGTAACGGAGGACGTGGATGCACTTATGCCATGCACCAGATCGCTGTGAATACGGAGGGACTGTGTGGGGGGAGCACGAAGAAAAGGGCGGAGAAGTACCGCCGGCCAGTCACATATTTACACTGACAGAATAAAAAAAAAAAACACATTAAAATAATGATATATACATATATATCAAAATAAAAAGCAAAACAGTCAAACAAAGGCGGATTTTTTCTTTAAAAAAAGCTTTTTTTTGTTGTCATTACCCTTTTTTTTTTTCCCTCCCTGATTGCTGGTGTTTTACTTTATTTTTTTTTTGCTTCTCACTGTGGGGCTACTTTGCTTGCCGCGTGTTTTGTGCTTTTCCTTCTGATTGCTGCTCTTCTGCACACACTATATCTGCTCTTCTACAAATTGTGATCGTTTGCAACTGCACCAGGGGAAGGGGAAGGACAACGACAGAAAGATACGATTAGCGGCGGCACTACTCCATTTGTCACAGGGGCGGGGCGGGGGGTGAACAACAACAAAAATGACGGGTCAAGCGCTGACGGTTCTCTCGTTGCTCTGCACACGGGCGTTGGTGATACTCAGTGAGGCGGCGCCGTCCATGTCGACTGCACGATATTTAAGCTCCGTTGCTGCATCAACGGCCGCACTATCTTCCAACGCACCTGACGCCATGCTGCTGCGCTCTGCAAATGATTTTGTACAGCGGTTGGCCTCTCTGCTTCCGCTTCTTCGTACGGCGGAACCCCTCCAAGAAGATGTGGCGATTGGCATTTTTCGCATCGCCAAGAGTAATGGTAGTGGAAATATTTCTCCGGCTTGTATTGACAGCCTCTTGAAGGAGGTAGATGAACGGCTTGTGGGACCTCAGTTCGCAATGTGGAAACCGCAGACGGTTTTGGCGTCTCTTCATGCCATTGCCATCGCTTCGCCATCGGGGCCGTTGAAAATGGTGGACACTCTTCTTTTTTGTGCGAAGGAGCAAATCCCACAGCTCGATGAGCGAAAATCGGCCCGGTTACTGTGGTGTGTTGCCACGCTGCGGAAGGAATCAGCGCACGCCACCTTGTGGAGGTTGTTGTGTGGACGTCTTATTCGTTTTTCAAGGGTCTTAACCTCTTCCAGTCGTTCTTTGGTGGTTGAGGCGCTCATTATTGTCCAAGAGTGTACGTGTGATGCACAGCATGAGTTGCTGTGTGTTCTGCATGAGAATCGTCTCGCAGTCCAAGAAGGGGAGGCATTTGACGGCGAGGAAGTGATGATGATGGGGTATGACTACCAGGCTCTCAAGGAGCGACTATTGTCGGATGTCCACCTGCTTTCTGTGGATTCTATTATTCATATGCTTTCCCAGGCCTATGGCACATCCTCGGATGGCTCAGACGAGGCAAACTACTTAATTCAGCACCTTCTTTCTCGTCCCCTCAAGCCGGTGGTGTGCCGTGAGCTTCTGGAGCTTCTTGCAACGGTTGGGAATAGTGAAGTTGCACAGTCACTTCGAATGAAGGCCGTCGAATGCATCCGCGGTGAGTACGGCCAGGGTTCCTTTGGAAAGCACGATCCCATACGCGATCTCGCTACCGTGAGCATCGCTTTTGCGTTGGAGCGACAACAAACCCTTGCTGTGAGCGCAGGGACAAGAATGCTTCTCGAGGAGCTTATTGCGAGGTGCCATGGCATGAGTGATGGTGTGTGGGATCGCTATAGTGGTCGAGTCACGGGGGTGCTGGCGGTGGCGCTGGATGTGTTGGCATCTTTTGTCCAGACAGGTAAGAAATCACCGTCTCTCACCGGAATTTATCATCAACTCGAGCAATTCCCTGAATCATGGGAGCGAGGTTCTTCCCCCTCGGCGGTGATCACAGAGTGTGCTGCTTGCGTCTGCAGCGCATGTCATTTGCTTCGTGTTTTTTCTTTGCTGAAGAGTCCATTTTCGACAGCGGCGTCACCATCTTCTGTAGAGACGACGACGTTAGGCGATTGGAACGGCACCCATGGAAGTCTTACAGAGGCGTTGCTGCGGCGTTGTACGGATGTGTTTTCTCGGGAGGGCACGCTACTTCCCCGTGCTGTTGTGTTTGACATGTGGCGAGCCTCCACTGGGGTTGAGGGGACAAGTTCCGCCGTCCTCCAGCCGCTCATGGAGTTGCTATTGAATTACACGGAGAAGCATCCTGCGGACTTCCCACTGCGAGAAGTTGCAAAGTTTTTTGGGACCGATTGCCATCGTTTTCCTGCGGAGGCCTTTGAACTTTTCGTGCGGTGCCTGAGGAATGAGTCTGACAACGTCGTGTCATCTCACCTGGACATGTTGGTATCGTCAATGGAGGGTGTTGCGGCTCGAGGAGACAAGGCGCTGCTACAGCGGCTCCAGCTGATGCTCTTTCTTCGCCCAATTGGTCACGAAAAGGCACTCATACATGCCGTTTTATTTAAAACGCCTCAACTGGTGCGATTGTTCAACTGCTGCAACAGTGCATCCGACCTGACAGCTTCCATGCAGGCTACGCTGCTTGAGCTAATGGTCAGTTCCTGCGGGCGCTGCACGACGATGGAGGAGCTGAACACGGCGGCGTCGCTTCTCCCGCACATTGAGCGTGGGTCACTGAAGGACGCGCTTGCGTGGGCGCTTGCGGCCAATGCGCAGCGGATGCATCCAACGGTGACACCCGATGTGCAGAAGGCGCTGTTGATTGTATATCTTCAGAAAGGAGGTGTCGCTGTGGAAGAAGATCTTCTGCAGGCGCTGAGACGTCGGGCTTAGACCGCCCACTCAAAACACTTACCCAAGAAGAGGAGGAAAAAAAAAAAAAAAGCAACAAGAAAGGAAAAGAAACAAGAAGGCAGGGAAAAGAATAAGTATGGCGGTAACAATACGAGAGGATACGGACAATCGGGATCGTACCACCGTAGACGCAAACCGAAGCAATAGGCAGATAAGAAATGTTACTTTTATCGTTGCCATTTTTTTTTAAATCAACGGTTGATTCCTTTTTTTTTTAAATTAATTAATTTTTTTTTGCGATTTTGCTGGAATGGTTGTCACGCAGTAGTCACAAGGACCGCCCAGAAAAGGGAATTAAAATAGGCATTAAATAAAGGGGATATTGGATGGAATAAAGAAGGAATGAATGTCCTTGTCAATGGCAGTCTATACCGCAGCAGGACAGGAACGTTAGAAATTAAGCGGCGCTTTGGTTTTGGTGCCGTTCTTGTCAGTTACGAGGGGAATAGACCGTGCATAGCTCCCGTGGATGCGTTGGGACGATTTTTGGTTCGTGACGGCTGCTCATATGATGTGTACTCCCTGCAGACCGGTGAATCCAGTCGTATGACTAGATTGGCCTTACAACGCGATGCGAGACTCTCACAGCGCGAAACACTCTTGTCAGAGGTGCCATCTCAGCTACCGGAGCGCAAGAGAGCTCGCAGCATCACTGCCAAGACCCCGAGGCGCAAAGGGAATTATGTGCGTTTTGTGCAAATCTTTTTGAAAAGTTTTCAGTCTGTCTCATTTGCGGACGCGGCGAAGGAATGGCGGCTTTTTTCTGAGGAGTTGAAGCGGACGGCGCCTGTCGAAGAATTGTTGGAGCGCGTGCGGGCGAAAGGGGCGTATCAGCCCTCTTTGGCCTGATCTCGCGATGTCGTCTGTTTTGTGGCTGTTTTGTTACGCTTGTTTACATTCACTGAAACACTCTTCTCATCTTCTTCCTCTTTTTTTCTTCTCTCTTCTGTTTTCTTCTCTTAATACGACATTTATGCACCTTAAATGGAAGCGAATCAATAACGTGAAGATATACCGTAATCTGGACGTTACGCGGCGTCTTATTTGTGGTTTTGTGTTACTGATTTATTTTTCCTTTTCAGCGCTTCCACTTCCACTTTCTCTCTCTCTCTTCCCCCCTCCTGGAAACAGCAGCAACAACAAACAACCAATAGACAAGAGAGTTACGCTTTCCTGTAAACGCGGCGGCAGTATCGGGTGAAAGTAAATGGATTACCGGGACCGCGTTATTGCTTTGTACCAGTGCTACGCGCCGGAAAAGATGGCCGGCGTTGATGCGCAGCTTTCGAAGTACGAGGGCCGTGAGGAGGAGTTTATTCAGGCTATTATCAACAAGTACGGTCCAGAACCGGATTCTGCGGAGGGAATTGCCGAGAATGAATATAATGCCCAAGAAGGGGAAGAAGATGAATGGTATGCGTACTATCGCCAGCGTCTTGTGAACTTTTACACCATTTACGCCTCAGAAAAGATTGATTCCGTCGACAATCAGCTAAAAAAATACGCTGGACGTGAGGAGCCACTTTTTGAGGCTTTGGTAGCCAAGTATGGACCCGAGCCGGAATACGAGAATGCCGATGAAAATGAAAAAGAAGCGGCTGATAAGACGAACCTTTCTTATGAAAATGTCGGTGAGAATGAAAATAAAACGGGTAGTAAAGAGAAACTTTCTTATCGTGACAGAGTTGTAGCGTTGTACAACTTGTATGTTCCCAGCAAGCTGGGTGACGTGGACGCGCAGTTGGAGAAGTACCGTGGCCGTGAGGAGGAGTTCATTGCTGCATTGGAGCAGAAGTATGGTCCCGAGCCATCAGTTGCGGAGAGTGCCTCAGCAGACTACCGCAGCCGTGTTGTGTCCATCTATGAGCGCTATGCCCCTGGCAAGCTGGGTGACGTGGACGCACAGTTGGAGAAGTACCGTGGCCATGAGGAGGAGTTCATTGCTGCATTGGAGCAGAAGTATGGTCCCGAGCCATCAATTGCGGAGAGTGCCTCAGCAGACTACCGCAGCCGTGTTGTGTCCATCTATGAGCGCTATGCCCCTGGCAAGCTGGGTGACGTGGACGCGCAGTTGGAGAAGTACCGTGGCCATGAGGAGGAGTTCATTGCTGCATTGGAGCAGAAGTATGGTCCCGAGCCATCAGTTGCGGAGAGTGCCTCAGCAGACTACCGCAGCCGTGTTGTGTCCATCTATGAGCGCTATGCCCCTGGCAAGCTGGGTGACGTGGACGCACAGTTGGAGAAGTACCGTGGCCATGAGGAGGAGTTCATTGCTGCATTGGAGCAGAAGTATGGTCCCGAGCCATCAATTGCGGAGAGTGCCTCAGCAGACTACCGCAGCCGTGTTGTGTCCATCTATGAGCGCTATGCCCCTGGCAAGCTGGGTGACGTGGACGCGCAGTTGGAGAAGTACCGTGGCCATGAGGAGGAGTTCATTGCTGCATTGGAGCAGAAGTATGGTCCCGAGCCATCAGTTGCGGAGAGTGCCTCAGCAGACTACCGCAGCCGTGTTGTGTCCATCTATGAGCGCTATGCCCCTGGCAAGCTGGGTGACGTGGACGCACAGTTGGAGAAGTACCGTGGCCGTGAGGAGGAGTTTATCGCTGCATTGGAGCAGAAGTATGTTTACGGCAGTGGGTCTGCATTGCCGTCCTTATATGTAAGTGGAACTTTGTCGCCAGTTGTGTCAGAAAAGGCAGGTAGCTCACATCAAATGGTGCTTATGGGAATGGCCTTGACTACAATTATGGAAGAGGAGAGTGCCAGACGGCTGGAGCTGCTGGAGGCTTTTACTGCTGGATTGATGAGCCTCAGTATGGATGCCGAGTCCGAGAGGCGTTTGAAAGTGGAACATCAGGAGCAATTGGCGGCGGCTGTTTTTGAGGAGTTTTTTATTCGACTTCAAATTATTGCTGAAGAGGCGATGGGCCGTCCCGTATTGGAGCATCCGCACTTTCCGTTTGTCTCGGATAAGAGTGCGGATGCTGTGGCACGTTTCTTTGCGGCATTGGGCACGACACATGTGAACGGCAAAGCGTTTATTATGGCTTCAGCGTGTCGTCTTCTTTTTTTCGAGGCCGTTGGTGAGGAGTTGTTGGAGGAGCCACAAGGCGAACTTGTCTCGCTCGAGGAGTTCCGCCAGCTACTGACCCGCGCTTGTCACTGCGAGAAGGATGTCGTGGCGAGGTTGCAGAGTTTCGTGTCGATGGCAAAGCGACAGGAGCGACCTACAGTCCTCGCGGCACCTCAGGAGCTTTGCGCGGGTTTTTGGGCCTACAGATGTGTGAAACCTTGCGTTGCGGAGGATTGGCAGCGTGTGTGGGTCGTGCTGGAGAATGACACACGGCTGGTGATCCGGCGGCCGAATATAAAGAAGCCAGAGCTGACAATCCCTGTCGGCCAAGTGATTAAATGCCAACTGTCGTCGATGCTTGGGACCCAGGCACCACGGTCGTGTGCCAAGAACGGATTGTACCTGCAGCTTTCAAGTGGCGTCAATCCCGTTTTGTTGCTGTTATGCCCTCAGCGTGTGGCAAATGCACAAGCGCTCGTCAAAATGTTTTTTCGCGGTGTTCCCCAAAAAACGTCGGGGATGACGAGAGATGTCGTCGCCGAAGCTAAAGATACGCTAATGAATAAAGGTGAAGTTAAAATTTCAGCTCCCGCTGCTGGTGAGATTTGCCGAACTGAGGACGCATGTGTTGCGACAATTGTGTGGTGTTGTCGCGGTGGCTGCAGTAAATTTGTTCGTTCCGTTTGGACTTTGGTGGGTGACTCCATCGTGCACCAAGCCGTGGGGGAAAAGGAGAATTTTACTTGGGGCCTGGCAACAGTGAGGGATGTCTACCTCGTCAACGAGCTTGGCATGAGGCCACCGGTGCCCACTGCAAAACATGGTTTTGTTGTACTACTCGAAAAGGGATCGCTGTTCTGCTGCACGGAGACTGCTGCTGCTCGCGACGCAATTGTCGGCTACATGAAGCGGGTGGTTTTCAAGCATTTCCTTCAGTCAAATCAAAAACGCGCCTCCGCTCTCACTTCACTCATGACGGAGGAAAGTAAAGAAGGGAAGGGTGGTGCACCTCTGGCCTCCGCGAAGCACAGAGTACCCGGCGTTGCTCATTCTTCATCTCGCCGATGACCGAAAAAATTTTTTGTTGTAGTTTTATTTTCTTTTGGTTGTTATATGGGGGCGTCTTGGTTTTGGTCTCTGCACGCCCATTCGCACCTCTCTTTCTTGTCGCACACTTTGATGACCTGTACCTGTGGTGAAAACCACAAAATTTTTTTTGTGTTTTCCGTTAGATAAGCGTGTGCGTGTCTTTTTTTCTCTATTTCTTTCTTTCTTTCTTTTTTTTTGTGTGTGTGCGCATTGGCAAGAAAGTACTTTTTTTTTTGCCACTCCTGTTGGTATTTCCGTTCTTTTTTTTTTTTTTTTGTTTGTGTGTATTTATGTGTTTATGTGTATATGTGTATATGTGTGTCTCACTTTTGTGCCATTGGCTTTTGCCCTTTTTTGTTTTACCATGCAATTTTATGGCGTGTCATTAATTTACTTCGACGGCGCTGGGAGGTGAGGGGATTAGGAAGGGGCGGCACTGAAAAACGATGCCTGTGGAACGGACTCTGGGGAAGGAGGTGAATGTTGATTTGCACACAAGTGCGGGGCAGCCGTACGACGTTCAGCAGCTGCAGTCCGAATTCCATGCCATCTCGCCCGCCGAAGCGTATGGGGAGCTTTGCCAGCGCTTTCAGTGCCATGCCATCGCAGCTGTTGCCGCCATGTTTCCCAGTGGCGTGGGCCAGTGGAATGGGACCACGGAGCTAAACCTTTCGCGACTGTACGTGGGGCCAAAGGGCGTCCGACCGGTGGTGGAGATGTGCAAACGACTCCCCGCACTGCGGTCGTTTAACTGCGCCAACAATTATCTGACAAACGACTCGGTTTACTTCATTACACGGATGGCAATGTTTCACCCGGCGTTGGAGAGGATTGAACTTAGCTACAATGAGTTTATCTCATGGACGGGGGGCACGTTTTTGACGGAGCTGGTGGTGCGCAACACAAACATAAAGGAGGTTGGCATTCGCTCCACGGCGATCCCGACACGCGTTGCGGAGGCGGTATTTGAACAGACGCGACGTAATTGCGTCCTCGCGTACCAAGCGGTAGGGCGAATGCCAAAACCAACCAATCATCCAGCCGCTATTCATATGCGGACCATGAAACGATTTTTTATGGATATCCAGGAGAACGGTACTGTTCCCGTCTCGGCCCTTGTCGATGGATTTCGCGAGCGCCTTCGTATTCTCGGGCAAGAGCGGGACCTCAGCAAGTACACAGAAAGCTTCTTTGAGACTCTCTGCCGGCAAGTACCACAGGACCGCATTACCTGGGAGGCATTTATTGTAACGCTGCGAACGGATGGCAGTTTGTATGACGCGGAATTTGTGAAAAAGGTTCAGCGTGTCTTTTTAGAATTTAATATTGAGCCTTCAGCAGGGACGGAGGGCTTTGTAGAGGTACGAGATCTTGCCGCCATGTTTACGCGTCTTTACGGTGAACCACCGACGTCGAAGGAACTCGCCAGTATGCGGAGTTTGTTGGGACTCAATGATACCATGACGCTTCACTGGGATGAGTTTTTGCCGTTGATGTACATTCGGGGTCCAAAGGATAAGTGCATGGCTATGGGATGGAATCTCTCTCCACTTTACATCCCAACGATGCTGCACTTTTGATGTGATGGACCTTTTTTTTCTTTTTTTTTTTTTTCTCTCTCTCTGTGTGTGTGTGTTTGCGTACAGTGCGTTTTTTTATTTATCTTTTTTTTTTTTTCTTCTTCTTTTGCGAAGTATGTATCTTGTCTTTTTACATGCGCATTGGTGCGGAGGCGTTTTATAGTTCCGGGCGGTGATTTTTTATTTTTTATTTTATTTTCTTTTTAATGTTTTATTTATGGATGCTTTGCGTCGGTTGTTCTCATGGACGCTTTGTTTTTTTTTTTTTTTTTTTTTTTTTTTGTTGTTGTTGTTTTATGCCATTAATTTTGTTGTGAACTCTGAAGGGGAGGGAGGGGGGTGGCGGGGAAATTTGTGAGAGAAGTAGTGGTTCGGGGGCGGAAGGGAATTTGCAGCAACGGCACGGAGAATAGTTATTCGAAGAGAAAGACAGATAGGGAGAGCGAGAGGAGAAAGGGATTGTGTGCACGATGCTTGCCTCTCCGCAGTGTACATTAGGGGGAGAACTTCTTGCCGCCAACGTTACTCCCATCTCTGCCGTTTATTGTGACCCGAACGGTGGCCTTTGGGCGATTCACGCCTCTGGGATGTGTGTCTTTTACTTTTCTGCATCTGCGGTGGCCGATATAATTTCGTCAACGTCGTCTTCGTCCTCGGCTTCTTTTTCGGGCGTGGCGGCCATAGGGGCGAAGTCGAAGGCACCTTCTGCTCCTATTTTTGAATGCAGCGAGGAGGATCAGATCCTTGCGGTTGTATTTCCGACGACACGCAATGCAAGCCGCTTGTTTGCGTGTATTGCCACGACGGAAGGTCGGCTCGTGTTGGTAGACACTGAGGAGCCTGTGAATGTGCTTCGCCAGTGTGATATTGGTACACTGTTCACAGCCGTGACGCCTGTGCCGATGGACGCGGCGTGTGAGGCGGCAGAGGATGGGGCCGGCGTGTTGGTTTCATCGTTTGACGGGACATTTAGTGAGGTGGTGTTTGTCCACTGGGAGGGTGATGACAAGGCGGTGGTGAGTGCAACGGGCCTATTTCGCATTCGCGGTAATCTTCACAACGTGATACTTGATGAGGCTTCCAAGCGCATTTTAACCATCACTCAGCATGGAGAAGTAGACGTGTGGAACTGGCGAAAGGGATTTGACGAGACGCTTTCGTTTGGCATGCTGGCCTACTCCGCTGACGAATACGGCGAGCCGTCATGCAGCATACTGCTCAGCGGGGGACGTCTGTGGATTGGGACGATGATGGGCTACATTGTTGTCTTTCATTTGAGGCCAGGCGTGAGTGATGGGTCGCCGCGGCACGTGTGGCAGGCACACAGTAATGCGGTGGCCATACGGAGTCTTCTTTTGATGTCGCTTGGGCGTCACATCTGGAGCTACGCAGCGGACCGACAGGCGCTTGTCTGGGATGCGGAGGCATGGACACTACAGGGATCTTTTCAGTTTCCTGGCGATGGGTTTTCAAAACTGCACGGTGGCCTGCGCTGCATGGATACCATTGCGTGGGGCATTGATGAGACGGCAGGGACGGTGACGTGGTTTACCGTAAAAGAGCCTTTTTTGCGAGCAGATTGTGGATTACCTTTTGGGCGCGACGAGTGCGTCATGCCGCGGGGCGAGGTTGAGCGTCTGCATTTGCTTGAGACGCTCGTCTCACACCTTTGTTCACAGCTGCTACATGCGGCGTCCAGTGACGAGGGAACGGCGGTGCGGGAGAGGAGTTCGAGCCTTAATGACGAGCACACGCCGAAAAATGGGGTGAAAGAAGAGGAGGAGCAAAACATGGCAACACCGCCGCACATTGACTTGGCGCTGCAGCAGCTCGACGAAGATCATCCGAGCGCACGACTGCTTCCACCAGCCGTGGCGTCGCTCGTCGTGGGCTGGCGGATGGTGCGAAGGACGCTTGCGGACGCCGGGATGCGTTCACGGAGTTTTCTGGAGGACGTCCAAGTTCTCCTGCAGGATAACCGCCGACACAAAGAGTTGCAGGCGCAAGTTCGCCGTTGCCTTGCGGAGCTCCGTCAGGAATTGCAGCACGGCGACGCGTGCGATACCCTCGACGACGTGGTGGACATCTTTCGAGCCCTCGTACGGCGTGTGGAGGAAGACTCACCTGCAGCGTCGCCGGCCCATTCGGCAATCGACCGAAACCGGCAGACGTCCTCACGAACCCACAGTGGCTCCACAGACGACGCCATAAAAACGGTTCCGTCCCTTGTGGAGGCGAGTGACGACGTGCGTGCAAGGCGGCTGGAGGAGGATCTCATGCATGAAAGACAGCGCCGGGAGCGCAGTGAGATGCAACTTACAGAAGCGTATGACGAGAAACGGGAGCTGCAGCGACAGTTGACTCAATCCATGCGTCTCCAGGAAGACTACGAGGAGCGTTTGTTGTCGCTTGAGCGGTCTCTTAAGACGGCAAAGAAGGCCGCGGCAGTGACAGCGACAGAGGCGGCACGATTCTCTGAGATGGAGGCGAATCTCAACGAGGCACATCACACGATTCATGTGCTGCAGGATAAATTGGAGGGCCTCATGCGTGAGAGACAAGAGTCTCTTCAAACAGCACAGGAGAATAAATCCCTGCATGCCGAAGTTCAGAATTTCCAGGTGAAGGAGCAGGTCGCCAGACGGGCATTGGCTAGCTTTATCGAGACGCAAGATTTTATGCTTGACAAACTGAGTGACGTGCTACAACACACGAACACGGACGTGGAATTGTACTCTGAGGTTTCGTCTCTTTACGAGACGTTCTGTTCCCGTGTGGAGATGCAGCATGGGTTTCTTGTTGAACTTAAGCGCGGCTACGCACGGCAGCGCGATAAAGACACATGATAGAGATATTTTTGCTTCCCGAAGTCTATTCCCATATATAAAGAGAGTGAGAGAGAGAAAGAGGGAGGGAGGGTGTGTGTGTGTGTGTGTGTGTGTAGCATATCTATAGACGCTTTCTGGTTTGCCATTCTGCTGCTTCTTCCACCTCGATTATTTTTATTTAAATTTCTATTTCTTGTGTACATTTAATTAATGGCTGCTGCTGCTGCCGCTGCTGTTTGTGTGTGTGTGTGTTTGTGGGAGCCTCACAAACTTCCCTCTCATAATGGCGTTTTTGTGTCTTTTTTCCATCTTCTCCATTTTGAAGCCTTTTTTTTTTCCTTCTTTTATTTTTGTTTAAATTTCCACAAAGGAAATAGAAGCAAAGAATTAAGACGTCTTTGGTTTGCGTAGGGACTTTTTTTTTTCCCGCTGAATTTCAGGTTTTCAGGCATTGTGTTGGAGGGAGGGGGAAGGGTGAAGGGTGATGGACGACAAAACGCTTCAGTGCACGCTGGAGGTGCACAGCGGGGACGGTGAATGCACGCGGCGGACGTTTACCGTAGAGCATTTGCCGCGTACGCTCCGGGAAGTGGTTGAGCTGTTGAAAGCACAGGACCTGCGGCTGCAACGTGGTGATTTTGAATTTAGTGTCATTTGCGGTGAGTCGGGCAGTCCACAGCAGTTACTTGCAGACAGAGATGTAAATAATTTATTTTCGTCATTTGCTTCAGAGCGATTGCTTTTCAAAGTGACGCTACAAGAGCGAGTGGGCGGTCTGGTCAGCTCCATGCTCGCTGACGATAGCCTTGTGCACCTGCGCATCTACCACCGGGGCAACGATTTAGTGACGGAGAAGCGATTCATTCCGCCTCGGCGTGGTGTGCGTGAGGCACTGGTAATAGCTGTGCGTGATGCCATCCAACAGCCTCCCCCGGCGTCGGTGGGTATGCAACTTTACGCAATTGTGGGCGAAATGTGTGATCAGACTGCATTAAAGGACGAGGACGCCATCAACACCTTCCTGCGATCTTGCATGGTAACACGCTCGGTGTGTCGTCTGACATACCAGTTTGATAATGAAGGTGTGATCAATGAAGCTGACGCATCTATTCAAACAAAAAACCTTGGTGTCAACAATGCACAGATGCCTCCATCAGATCCCATCCAGGCCAACAGTGCTACGCCCCAGATGCCAAAGTGCAACGATGGCGATGACGTTCTCTGCGAAACGCCGAGCCGTGCGGAGGATGAATCCAATGCTCAAGCGAGCTCGGTAGCCCCGGTCAATGATGTCAATTCTGCGTTGGTTTCTAAGAGCAGTTCACATAATGGTTCTCCTGCGTCAGAGCCGTTGACTCAAATGGATGCAGTTAGTGTTCCCCCGGAGACCGCTGTCAGTGCTGCCCGGAATGCGTCTCCTTTGCGTGAATTGGCAAAGAATGGGCGCCAGCTTTTGGACGGTGCAGGTCACTTGAAACAGAACGACGGGGATCCCCCGGCAGTTACTTTAACTGCAAAATATGAGGAGGCACCGCGACCAATTATGCTTGTTGCAGAAGAGAAGGTGCCGGCCGTGGCGGTTTCTGGGCGTTGCCATGCTGTGGATGCAAAAATTAAAAAGGAAAAACTTCGGATTGAAATTGAGTGCGCATTCGGTGATTCAACTGTTGTTTTCCCCTTTTCCTGGCGACGGGATTCAGCAAGTGTTTTGCAATCGCTTCGTGAGGCCTGCTTGATTGCTTTGGAAGTACCTCGGGACGAAAATGTGAATTTGTATGATCGGAAGGGCGCTGTTTTGCACACCGAGGAGGATACATGTAAACGGCTAGAATCCATCCTTCTGTCTGGCTGCACCCGAATTGGTCTCGTGCTGTGGTCGGGCCACCCATGCACGTCGGGCCTCCCGCTGCAGTGCTGCGTCTCGTGGGGTACACAACAAATAGTTATGGTATGCACCGTGGAGCGGGAGATGGCGCTGATGGATCTGCGGCGTGCGATCCTGGACGAGTATGGTATGGACTACAGGACCATCGATGGTTTGCATCTTTTCCTGAGTAGTGGAGAAATGGAAGCCGAGTCAGAGTTGACAAGTAGCCGGGCTTACGAGCAGCTTAAGGCCGCTTCACTTCATGAAGAGCTGGTGAATATTAGGGTGTCAATTCGTGATGGACCTTCACTGTGCTTGTCCATGGAGAGAAATTTGCCCCTTAAAACCGCGGCGTTTGTAGAGGAGGCCCTGCTTGTGCTCGGAGATCGACCCCATTCAAACGACGTGTTAAAAATTTTTGAAGAATGTTCTGGGAAGACAGGGGCGCTTGAAAAGGATGCCAAAGATTTCATTGCGCTTGTTATTGTAATGCTCTCAGAGCCCCGCATTTTGACACGTGAGAGGTTGACATCGTTCCTCCTCAAGACGGCAGCGCCTTGCAATGAGGAGGGGGTTCTTGAAGTATTGAACCGCTGCGTTGCGATTGCGCAGTTGCGTGTGGTGCGTCGCCCCTTTGACGTACTAAAACGTTTTTTCAGGCGACTGTACAGGGTTATCCATATCCCAGAGGGGGCTAAAGGCATCCCTCTCACGATGGTTACGCGTCAGTTGGCGCAAGCCGGGCTCTCGGATGCGAAGGGGTTGCTGCGACGCGATCGCACAATCTTGGCAGAGTTGCAGGAGAATGATTACACGGAGCTTTTTTTGCGGCTTTATTTCACGGATGCCAATATGATTACTCGTGCGGTTGTGGCGGCACGTCTGTCAGGGATAGGCAAAATAAGAAGCCGGCGTGTTATGACAAGCAGGGGACAAGAGATGCTGCGGGAGGACTTTATGCACGAAATCCGACATGCCTTTGACGGAATACGTTCCACGGATGTTTTAAAGTTTTTGAGGAGCCAAGAGCCGCACCCTGAGCCGAAGTTTCGCTGTTTGCTGAGTGTTATGGGGTCGCTTTTAGCCACCCATCCCGTGCAGCATCCCGATCATTGGTTTGTGGAGCGATTCCGAGGAAAGGTGGCGGACGCTCTGGACGTCAAACTACGCACATTTGAGGACTCCGTAGTTTCGACACCGCAGTTGTACCGTCTCTGCTGGGACGTGCTGAAACCGGACATGCACCATCTTTTGCTTCTTCCTGAGTCTCCCGTGGCAAGTGCCTTTGCGTGCTGGGCCTTCTTTGCAGTACAATTAATATGCGTCAACCGCCATTTGGAATTTCCACCTGTGCCGTTGGTGGATTTGCAAAAGTTCTCCCTAGTGGGATTACCGATTTCACCAGTAGAGATTGCAAGGGATGACGCTTTAAACGTTGTTTCTCCCGCTGCAGCCGCCAGTGGCGGTAATGATGGCGGTGCGGCTGCTGCATTGCCGTTCCGCACGAACAAGCCAAGGATAAAATACAAGTACAGCTATCTCTGCCATGATCTTTGCCGGGATGTTCGCGTGGAGCGTCCCCTGAAGTAGTGTGTTGGGGCGATGTATCAATGTACATACACATTTATTTATGTAAGCCCCACCTTTTTTTTTTTTTTTTATGGCTTCCCTCTGCCTGTGTGATTATGTAACTTGCACCTCTTCACGCTTAAAGTACTTGCGTGGTGGTGGTGGGGTAGAAGTGCTCTCGCCTTTACCCCCGACACACACACACACACACGGGGGAGGGGCAGAAAACTTGACGAAAGAGAGGAAAAAGAAAAAGAAAACAGAAGACGACGGGAAAAGAGAAAAAAGTAAAAAAAAAAAAAAAGAAGCGGAACAAATCAAAACTCTTTCAAGAAAGAAAAAGAAAATGGAAAAAGTAAAAGGAAGCAGGCTGTGCTCTGTCTTTCCTGCACATGTAAAAAAAAATTTTTTTAAAAATAATTAATTGCGGCAAGTGCTCAATTCTTTTTTTTTTTTTTGTGTTTATTTACGTGTTTCTTTTTTTTTTTTTTTCTTTTGCCGCCCACTCTTCTCCATTGATTTTACTGCGTTGCGTGGGGCCTTCTTTTACATTTTCCTCTTTTTTTTTTTCTTTATATGTGTATACATATTTGTCTCTGTGTTTAAAGCCGGCGTAGATTGAGTCCAAGAGGGAATTAGTGAAGGGGGGAGGGGGTTAAAAACCACAACAACAAAAAGGGGAAAAGGACGCGGTGATGTTCACAAGACGTGCCGTGCGATTCTGCACGCGGCGGCTTCCGAGTGGGTTGCTGCTGGACGGCACTTTTAACCCAAAGCATCCCGATTTTCTTCTTGAAGGATGCGCCACAACACCTGACGGCCGTGTCTTTCGCGGCCACTTTGACGCCGAGCGGGGATTTCCGCTGGGCGGCAGTGAGCTGGAGGACGACGGGGATCTCTACCGCGGCTCCTTCAATGCCCAATGGCAGCGGCACGGTGATGGCGAGGCCTGGCTGGCCGACGGCACGTATTATAAGGGGCGGTTCTGTGAGGACGAGTTGGTGGAGGGCGTCGTGCGCATACCCAATGGGACAACGGAGACGGTCTTTGAGGGATTACTGCGGGACGAGGCGTTTGTTCGTGGAACACTTACGCAGCATGACTTCACATACGAGGGCGAGTTTCTTGACAACAAACCACACGGTCGCGGAAGGCTTCGCTTTGCCACGGGAGCGGAGCAGGAGGGCACGTTTTTTGCCGGCAAGTTGCATGGAATTGGTTGCAAGATGAAGCTTGATAGTGGGTTTGTGTACGTGGGCGATTTTGTGGACGGGTGCATTCAACGCGGTCAGCTTTTTACTCCGACGTATACGTACGACGGCGAGTTTAACGAACACGGCCGTGCCCACGGAGAGGGGTCCCAGACATACCTGGCAAACGAGCCGCGTCTCATTTTTGCAGGCATATGGGAGAATGGGGCTTTGGTGCGTGGGACCTGCACCGACGAGTACGGTGCTCCTGTGGATTGGAAGGACAATTACGAGCTCCAGGCCAAAGTTTTCAGTGAAGATGGTGGCGACGTCGCGGTGGCGATAAACAGCTACGGTGCCGCCAAGCTGAAGGAGGCAGACACGCTTCACAGGGAGATGAACCAAAGTTACGTGAAGGATGCGGAGAGAGTCCGACAGGAGACGGGGCGTTATCCATCCAAGATGAGTCTTGGCTACGAAGGAAGCATTCAACAGGAAAGGGAATCACTTGAGCGAGCATCACGAAAAAACGTGGAGGATATGCGGAATATACGTGACAGCATGGAGGCGAGCCATGCTGATGTGAATTGCATGTGCGAAAAGGCGTTGAATGATGCAACGATACCGATAAACGAAAACACGGCTAGAATGCAGTACGCCAGGCAGGAGGGAGCACAGCAGCTGGCGGCGGAGCGTGTGGATGAGCAGTTCGAACGGTTCATGAAAACATTTAGCCGCGAAACTGACGGCAACGCCAGTAGACGCATCATTGATGGCAACTCGCCGTGGAAGGCGTACACTCCAAAGGGATGATTGAATATCTTCTGTTTTAGACGCTTTTTTTCGAAGAGGCGACTGAAGAACCTGGTGTTGTGTTCTTATTGAGCCTTTTTTTTTCCTTTTTTTTTCTTTTTTGCGGTTGCTCTTGACCGCTTGCTTGTGTCTTGAATTAAGCTTCTTTTTTTTTTTTTTTTTATTCTGGTGCCTTTCACATACAAAAATATATGAATCAATATATTTTCCTTCTCTTTCTGTCTATTTTGACTTGGGCTACAGCTTCCATCCATGGAGTTTGGCCTTGAGGGCCATACGGCCACAATGTGTGGCGAATCTATTGTGGTGGTTGGTGGGAAAACAGCTGCCTTTCACCTTAATGCATCCGTGTTCAGTCTCACTCTTCCAACATTTGAATGGCGACGACTTTTGTGTGACGGTGCGGTCCCATTGCCGCGGGCGTACCACTCGGCGTGCTTACACAGCTCACGACTTGTTGTCTTTGGCGGCATCACAAGTGTCGGGGTGAACGATGTCCACTACAACACGTATAATGTCTTTACGTTGGCTGACGGACTTGATAGTGAGACGCTGCAGCAGATGGGAACCGATCGTTTTCGCGACAATTCTTGGCTGCGGCCCGTGATGCCGCAAAATTTTGAGCCTAACGGGGTGCTTTATATTTTAGACATGTCGAGTTCACCTCCTCGCTGGGAATTGGTAGAATGCACCGGCGATGTGCCATGCAACCGCTCGCATCACGCTGCCGCGGTGCAAGGAAATTCCATGTACATGATTGGAGGATACAATATTTATTCCCCACAGACGCAGCCGACGGTTGACTTTGGCTGCTTGTACCGCCTTGACTTGACAAGTTTTTGCTGGACAATGATCAAACTCAGCCTTCCACTGTATTATTGGGGGTCGACACTGACCCCATTGGGCGGCTCATTGCTTTGTTTCTTTGGTGGTGTATCGCGCGTAAAAAATCGAGAATCGCATGACACGTTTTTAATTAGCGCTGAAAAGGGTTTCGTGCAGCCCGTGATGGAGAACGACTGTACCCCGTTGCCCCGAACAGCGCACTGTGCATGGCGGTGGGGCTGCTATGTGTACATTTTTGGTGGTGCCGGCTCAGTCGCCAGTCGTTTATTTAACGATTTGCATCGTCTTTATGTACAAGGAGGTTCGTGGGAGGCGGTTACGACACACGTGAACACAACAACAACAACATCATCATCACTTTCTGCCCCTCCGCCTCTTTCTGGGTGCGCCGCTGTGGTGGTTGGCGAGCATTTGATTCTTGTCGGCGGAATGCGTTCAAACTTGGCACGGGTGTCGAGTGTATTTCTTCTGAACATGCACTCGTTCACGTGGAGGGAAGCAGAGACGGTGTTTACCAACACACCGCTGCCGTTTCCAATGCCACTTTCTCCCTTTACCCGCAACATTCCGTGCTCTTATAGGGCCGACGTCAGTAGAGGCGTGCAGACGGCGTGGAGGGGCGAACCGCCACCCGCTCTCTCACGCAACGATTGTGATTCGGAAATGACGATGCCCTGCCGGGTAGCCGTCAAACATCGGTTGCAGCAGCAGCCGAAGATGAATGGGGACGAAAGACGTCACTTCGAGAAGCGCCCGTACGAACGCTGGGAAAGAGAGTTGGATGAGCTTCACAAGTTGACAGCGGACTGGAGCAACATGATTACCGGCCTGAGCGCCCACGCCAAGGGTGCTACATGGGCGTCGTGACTCTTCCATCACCCCTGTTGAGGCGTTTATGTTGTTGTTGTTGTTGTTTTTGTTGTTGCAGCCACAAATTCAGCCGTGGTAACACATGAACATGCGGAGATATGTTACAATTGGGGAAAGGGACGAACATAAAATAGATGAATGGATGGATGCTGCCGCCTTGTTGATTGTTTTTTTTTCTTTTTCTTCTTTTGTGTTTTTTTTTTGATTTTTTTTCTCTTTTTCTTTGTTTTTTTTATCGTTTTTTTTTTTATTATTTTAAATTTATACTTTTTAACATGCAGAGTGATAGAGGAAGAGTGGGAGATTCTTTTTCTTTTGCTGCTGTGATCGTCATGCTTTTTTTTTTTTTTTCTTTACTCATTCATGTTTATTATTATTATTTTGTTGCTTTTTTTACCCACATGCCCACCCTCTTTTTTTTTTTCCCCCTTTTTTTTCGCTTCATGCCATTGGTTCCATGTGCCGAATTGCCAGGGTGGGATAAAGGACGAGAAGAACACGGAATAAAAGGAGGCGGAGAATCATGTGGCGTTTGTCTGGACACCGATGCGTACGGCTTCTCGGTCAGCGCAGGATGCTCACTTCTGGCGCCAATGCGTCGAATCCGGAGCTGGAGTCGGCATCGGCACATCCCATTCTCTTTAACGTTCCTGTTATGTCTCGCACTGTTGGCCGTGATGCGGAGCTGCTGTCACTCTGGCAAAATTTGCTGTCCGGGCGCCACATCCAGGCCATTACTGGGCCAGACGGTATCGGCAAGTCTTCCATAGCGGCAGAGTTCTGTGATCGGGCGCGGCGAAGTGAGCGCTTCACATGCATTCAGTGGTTTGATGCCAGAGGGGGCTCATTGCCTTCAGAATTACTTCAATTTTTTCATTCCATGCGGGGCCGAAAGGAAAAGGACGTGCTTTTGGTTATTGACAGTGTCGATGACCCGCATGAGGCACTCCGTCACATTCCTAAGCACACAAACGTTTACACATTGCTCACCACGAGCGTTCCTATTGAAAGCTCAACGAAGGTGGGCACAATAAATGTCCAATCCCTGTCTCCCGATGGCGTGGCGCGATTTTCACATTTAACGGAGGTCGAGGAATCGAAAACTGTAGCTGATGTGCTTTTTGCTCTTGGCTATGTTCCGCTTCTTATGCATGTTGCATTGTGTCTAATGGAGAGCGGTTCTACCAGCCCAGAGGAACTAAAGAGAGAGCTACTCGCAAAGGGCGTCGATGGAAATGGAACCCTGAGTGTTTCCTACGCCATTGGCGTTCTAGTGGAGATTGCGCTTGCGGGGCTTGAGACGCACATGCCAGGAGGCATCCGTGTACTGGTGATGACTGCGTTATTTGATATTAGAGGTGTTTCTTATGCTGTTGTGGATCGTTTAGTTGGTGATGAATCGGGGGAGGCTTTTGTTATGCAAGCTGCTAGGTTAGGCCTATGCGATCAGCGGTGGGATGAGGGCTCGCTGACGATGCACCCTTCGGTTGCACAGATACTCCGAACCAAGGCGGATAGCACACATGTGGCGGAGTGCACAAAAGTGCTGCTTTCACTCTGGCCTCGCCGCTGGCGTGGGGCCGGCAGCAGCGTGGCAAATGAGTTGGCGCGTCACACCCGTGCCATTTCCGAAGTCAGCGATGCCCGTCAGATCCCGCTCAATAATGATCTTCTTGTTTGTCTTGATCGTAGTGCGACTCTTCTTGCCTTTAATGAGGGCAAAGATTTGCTGACGGCTGCGGAACTTTGGCTTCGAGTTGTGCGGGCAAACCAGAATGCAGAGAGAAGAGATGCAGAGGCTGTGCGAATAGGCAGAGAGTGTGGTCGTCTGCTGCATTTTCTTCGTGACGCGCGGGCCGGTGATGTGTTGCGGTACGCTTTTGACTTGGCATGTGCGGTGAGAGGGAAACAGTCAGCCGAGGCATCTCTCATTCTTGGCTGTTACGCTCCATATCTTCCTGCTTCGATGGATGCGGTGCGGATGCTGCAAGTGGGTGTGGCCTCGCTAGAGAATCGCATGACATCTTCTGACACGGTGCTTGGGAAGGAGGAGGGACGCATGCTGCAGGAGACAATTTTTGTCCTGCTTGTACGACAGGGGCAGATGCTGCAGGAGATGGGAGAGACAGTGCCCGCGTCGGTTTGGGCAGCACTGCAGGAGTTGGAGCAACGGATCACGGCGAGTTTGAGTTCGGCACCGCAGTGAGACACGCACCTCAGATCCTGTTGCGCACATCTTTTTTTAAATATATTTTTATCTGCAAAGTGAATTTGCCCGATGGGGGAAAAAAGTGGAAGGAAGTGACAGCGACAATGGGAGAGAGCACAAATGCGCAAGAAATGAAAATGAAAAAAACAAAAACAAAAAACGAGGGAATCGATGGCTTGCAGGGAATCAAACTGTTTATTTATTTGTTTTGCCTTCTGCGGCTGAGGATCATGCGTGTTGGTTGAGGTTTATGCCGTTGCATATTGCGCTGTGTGTGCGTGTGTGTGTGTGTGGGGAGGCGTTGAATACCCATCCGGATGGCGTTTCTCGGTGTGTTGCCATTCCCTTTTTTTTTTTTTTTTTTTGGCCTCATGGGCGATTTGGATCACTTATTATTATTATTATTATTATTTTCGCTTGCCGACTGGCAATACTTTCAACTCGAGTTGTGGGGACTTTGGGAACAACTTCTTTCTATTTTATTTTATTTTATTTTGTTTTGCCTTTTTAACAATGACAGCAGTGGAAGAAAAAGAAGCGAAAAAGGAGTAAAGGAGTCGCTTTAATGCAAAGCACTTTAATTCTTAAAAAGACCGTTGACGACGTCTGGCCACTCACGGCCAAACGTGTGCTCATCCGCGTGGACTTCAACGTCCCTATTCATAATGGGATCATCACGAACGATTATCGCATCCGCGCTGCCATCCCTACAATCCGTCGTGTGATTGATCAAGGGGGCATATGTATCTTGATGAGCCACCTTGGCCGCCCCAAAGGCGTGTCATACACCTCTGCGAAGAAAGACATTCAAAAGAGGTACCATGGAGGGCTGTTTAACGACAGCAGAGGGAAGACCGCCTTTTTTGCCGTACTTCCGGGTGAGGAGAAGGCAAAGATTTTGGCACTCTCCAGTGCAAAGGATGAGGCTTCCAGACTTTCACTCAGCGAGGGGTCTGGTAAGACTGCTGTCTTTTCACGGTTGTCGGAAGAGGAGAAGCAAACGTTGCTAGTGCGGTACATTTCTGAAAATAAAGAACAAATCTTTCCGCAGCTCAGCCTCAGTTCAGGATATGAAGAAAAACTTACTCTACGACCAATTGCCGTGCGACTTGCTGAGTTGCTTAATCAACACGTTTACTTTGCTCACGATTGTATGGATGCCAAGATGGAAATCAGTCTTCTCAGGAGAGGCGAGGTTATGCTGCTCGAGAACGTGCGCTTCTACGTGGAGGAGGGAAGTAAGAAGGAGGAGGAGCGTGACGCAATGGCACGCGTACTGGCGTCGTACGGCGACGTGTACATCAGTGACGCCTTTGGCACAGCCCACCGCGAGAGTGCGACGATGACGGGCATTCCAAAGGTGCTTGGCCACGGTGCCGCCGGCTACTTGATGGAGAAGGAGATCTCGTACTTCGCGAAGGTGCTGGGCAGCCCAGCGCGGCCGCTGGTGGCGATTGTGGGCGGCGCGAAGGTGAGCGACAAGATCCAGCTGCTGGACAACATGCTGCAGCGCATTGACCACCTGATCATTGGTGGCGCGATGGCGTACACGTTTCTGAAGGCGCAGGGCCACAAGATTGGGAGCTCGATGTGCGAGGAGGACAAGCTGGACCTCGCGCGCTCGCTGCTGAAAAAAGCCGAGGACCGCAAGGTGACTGTGCTGCTGCCCGTGGACCACGTGTGCCACACCGAATTCAAGGCTGTGGAGGCACCGTTGGTGACGGAGGGCGTGGACATCCCTGACGGCCACATGGCGCTGGACATCGGCCCGAGGACGATTGAGAAATACGTCGAGGTTGTGGCGAGGTGCAAGAGCGCGATCTGGAACGGTCCGATGGGTGTGTTTGAGATGGCGCCGTACTCGAAGGGCACGTTTGCGATCGCGAAGGTGATGGGCGACAGCACGCAGAACCATGGGCTGATGAGCATCATCGGTGGCGGTGACAGTGCGAGCGCAGCGGAGCTGAGTGGCGAGGCGCCGCGCATGTCCCACGTGTCGACGGGTGGTGGCGCGTCGCTGGAGCTGCTGGAAGGCAAGACTCTTCCTGGCGTTGCCGTGCTGGACGACAAGGAGTAGCGCGACCTGTGTGTTGTGTGGATTAAACAAAAAGAAAAAAGAAAAAGGCAACGTTATTTTCGTTGATGACGGCGCACAATGCGCTGCACATTCTCCTCGCCCTCTTTTTTAAGGTTTACTCCTTTTTTTTCTTTTTTATGTGTAATTCTTTTTATTTTTATTTCTTTTTTTTTTTTTGCAACGTGACGTGTTATATTCCATTGCAGTTTGTGTTAGCGTTTGCCACTTATTCATGCTTTTTTTTTTCTTTTGTGCTTTCTATGCGTGTCTGCTTCTTGACGCCACGGCAGATAACAAAAGCCAAAAGCTATAAAAAGCAGTGAACATATTTTCTTTCAAATACAAAAAACAAAAAACAAGAAAAAAGAAAAAACAGAAGTTTCTGATATTTTTCAGGCGTAAAGCATTAAAAATTACACAAAGAACATCGAACGGATGGCACTGAAGGAGAAGAAGGGCATCGATCAGGTTGACGTGAAGGGCAAGAGAGTCCTTATCCGCGTGGACTTCAACGTCCCAGTGAAAGATGGGAAGATCACGAACGACTACCGCATCCGCTCCGCGCTTCCGACGATCAAGAAGGTCCTGGAGTGTGGCGGGAGTTGCGTGCTTATGAGCCACCTTGGCCGGCCAAAGGGGGTGACGATGGCTGCTGCCGCTGCTTGCGGCGACGACAGTGTGCCCGGGTACGAAGCTGGAGCGACGTTGAAGCCTGTGGCAGAACGCCTCGGCGAGCTCCTCAATGTTCCTGTGGTGTTTGCGCCGGACTGCCTGAAGGCGGCATCTACGGTCGAAAAGCTGTCTCCTGGAGGCGTTGTGCTGCTCGAGAACGTGCGCTTCTACGTGGAGGAGGGAAGTAAGAAGGAGGAGGAGCGTGACGCAATGGCACGCGTACTGGCGTCGTACGGCGACGTGTACATCAGTGACGCCTTTGGCACAGCCCACCGCGAGAGTGCGACGATGACGGGCATTCCAAAGGTGCTTGGCCACGGTGCCGCCGGCTACTTGATGGAGAAGGAGATCTCGTACTTCGCGAAGGTGCTGGGCAGCCCAGCGCGGCCGCTGGTGGCGATTGTGGGCGGCGCGAAGGTGAGCGACAAGATCCAGCTGCTGGACAACATGCTGCAGCGCATTGACCACCTGATCATTGGTGGCGCAATGGCGTACACGTTTCTGAAGGCGCAGGGCCACAAGATTGGGAGCTCGATGTGCGAGGAGGACAAGCTGGACCTCGCGCGCTCGCTGCTGAAAAAAGCCGAGGACCGCAAGGTGACTGTGCTGCTGCCCGTGGACCACGTGTGCCACACCGAATTCAAGGCTGTGGAGGCACCGTTGGTGACGGAGGGCGTGGACATCCCTGACGGCCACATGGCGCTGGACATCGGCCCGAGGACGATTGAGAAATACGTCGAGGTTGTGGCGAGGTGCAAGAGCGCGATCTGGAACGGTCCGATGGGTGTGTTTGAGATGGCGCCGTACTCGAAGGGCACGTTTGCGATCGCGAAGGTGATGGGCGACAGCACGCAGAACCATGGGCTGATGAGCATCATCGGTGGCGGTGACAGTGCGAGCGCAGCGGAGCTGAGTGGCGAGGCGCCGCGCATGTCCCACGTGTCGACGGGTGGTGGCGCGTCGCTGGAGCTGCTGGAAGGCAAGACTCTTCCTGGCGTTGCCGTGCTGGACGACAAGGAGTAGAATATATGTTTTTTTTTTTTCTTGTCAACATTCTTTATTTATTTAATTAAATTTTTTTTTTAAGGTGTTGACATACGGTAAATTAAAAGCGGAAGGTGTGATTTGCTTTTATTTCTTTTTTTTTTTTTTTTATTGGTAGGAAGACTTTGTTTTGATTTTTGTCATATAAAATGTATTGTTTATTATTATTATTATTATTTCTCTCTCTCTCTGCGTGTACGTATGATTCCTTTTTTTTTCTCTGCGTGCATATTTGACTCTTTTATTTTATTTTATTTTTCTTTTTTTTCTTTTTAAATTGACAGCGGCGTATTTTTATTTTTTATTTTTTATATTGCCGTGCGTTGGCATGTCGCCAGGCGATGTGTTTACCGCTAAGGCCCCCTTCGTGTTGGTGGAGCAGTTCTGCGAAGGAAGGCCGTATGATACGATGACATTTCCTGATGCCTTTGAGATTGCACCGAACAGTTGGCAGTACAGGCCTGCAGTGGCCGCCGTGCCGGAAGTGATCATGTCACCATCGCCAGATGCTGCACATTCTGCTCACAAGAAAAATAAGCGTTATTTATTGCCTTTGGGCGAAGCCAGCCGCCCGACGGTGCACGGTGGGATGCACGAGGAGCAGCGGATGCAGCTGCAGCGTCGTGCACAGGAACGAAGAGATCTGCAGCTGATGGCTGGACAAGCAACGTACGAAGCGTGTTTTCAACGGCCGTGTGCGAAGGATGTGGTGGCGAAAGAACAGACCGCGGAGAATCGACGACGCAGCGAGGTGCGGGATGCTGTGCACACGTTGTGGCTAGAAAAGAACTGTGCGTTCATTACGTTTTGCGCTACGCAGCGTCGCCTACGTATGCTTTCATTAGAAACGCGTCGTCAGAAGCGGATGGAGCTGGAGCACCGCGCAGGTTCATTGCGCGAAAAACCGCAATGCCTCCGAGGAGGGCTTTTCTGGACGCACAGGGAAGGAAGAATTTCCCCCGTTGCTGCTGACGAGTCTTAACTCGATTGCCGCGATGATTGGAGTGTTTATGTAAGAGGGATAAATGAGATTTGGGGAACAGGGGGAGAGTCTGCAGAGCGGGGAAGCCGCGTGACGGTATTCTCCCAGACCCCATTAATGTAGGTTATGTCTTGGCTTGTAACATGAGGGAAAGATGTGCGATTTGCGTGTTGGCAGGTGTTTTTTTTTTTTTTTTGATGGCTGTATGAAGGCATTGTTTTTTATTTCCCCTCGTTTCTACGTCCCTTTGTTCTTTGGGTGTTTTTTTAGGCCCGAACACACAGAGAGGGAGACTCAAGGAAATTTAAGAAGGCTGAAGGGAGGCGTGAAACACTTATGCGCACTGTCTTTCTATGCTTGGAGCAGGGCGGGGGATTGACTGCGTCAAGACGAAGAGGATGTCGGTGACTGCATGGGAACAACAACAACAACAACAAAATTTCGTTTTACGACTGTGTAGCTGCGAGGGAATTGTGTTGTCGTGGCTGTCGATCCCCTGCCGATGTCAGAGGAAGAAATCTTTGCAGCTAGCCTAGCGGAGGAAAAAGAAATATATGCCGACCTACATATACACTTTGCGGTATGTGTCTCTTTAACGAAAAGCACGGTCTGTCTGTCTGAACGGTCACTTCCCATGCACGAGGTGGAGGGTTTCACCTGAATGTTCAGCGATGGTATTTACTGAACCGGAGTTGGGGGCCTGAAAGGAGAATTGGTCTCCCTCCCGGCATTGGGGATGGTGTAAAAAACAACAACAACAACATGTGCATACTGGTGTAAGGGATTTTTTTTTTTTCACTTCTGCTTTTTTCTCTCTATCTCTCTCTTTTTCTCGGCAGTAGGTGGGTGGGGCGGAAAGTGAGTGTGAGTGTGTGCGGGGGAAGTGCGCAATGATCCCTGTGAGGCTGAAGTACTTCGAGGAGGGTCCGTCGTGGACGGAAAGACGCCCCTCATCTGCGGCAGAGGCGACAGGAACATCAACAGGGGGGACGGCGCCCGCATCATTGGCAAAGGCCTTCTCAGTGAGCACTATTGACCTCAGCGGGGGGATCTCGTCGGTTGGAGAGATGGAGAGTTTCAACAACGCCCTTGCCGCCTCGTCGCCGTCGTTTGTTTTTGTCCACAACGCCACGCTGGTGGCGCGGCAGCAGATGATGCAGTCATCTTATGTGCGCAAGATGTACGGTATTACGGAACTCGTTCGCTATGAGCCGCGGGAGGGGGCCGAGAAGGGCAGCCTTGCGCTCGTGCGCGTCGGCGTGGTCTGCGAGAGCGCCGATAGCGCTGTCAAATTGCTGGACAGCAGCCTGGGCGGCGGTGGGTGTGTCCGCTTCTTCATGATGCTGCAGGTACGCTCGTTTGCGGGTGCCTCAATGACGGTCTCCGCGGTCTACATTGACCCTGCCGCCATGCTTTGGCAACGCGTGGCAGTTCTCACGCACCTTTTCCCGCAGCTTGTGAACGCAGATCTTGTTCTACTCGTCTCAAACCTGTTTTTGTCGCAGACGGGTGCGTTGAGTTTGGAAACGAGTGCGGAACTGCATGCCGTGTGCACCGCGAAGGGGTTCAGCGATGCCGCGGAGGAGTCGGTGGAGAAAAACAGCGGCGGCCACGGGGGCGTCGGGCAGCAGGAGTGGTCCGTGTGGGTGAAGTCTTCGAAATTTGCCGCGACGCATCTCACTCACGAGGCGCTGTTACCGACGGCGGCAGGAGCAAAGGCATCGGCAGGCATCACCACCGTCACACTCTCATGCCGCTGTGCGGCGGCGATTACCATCCCGCAGCCACGCAGCGCGAAAAGTGCGAACTCGCGTGGCTCGCCGGCGTCGACGGCCACGCCAGCAATCATGACAGACCCCGCCATTCTTAGCGCGGAAGCGGCGGGGAAAGGCGTCACGACGGCAGCAAAGGGCGGGGGGAGCGTCATCATTGAACGGCTTTTGCAGCAACAACAACAACAACAACAGCAACAGCAGCAGCAGGCTGTGCCACGGTGGCGGACCTCGCACTCATATACGTTGAAGAACAATGAGAAGTTAAACAGTCATGAACTCGCATTTGATGTTTCTGCACACTTTGCGTCTGTGCCGGAGGTGGTAGAGGCGCTGAACAACAGGTCGATTTACTGGCCCGCAGAATACTGCGTGGCGCACAATGTCATTCTTGCAAGCGACAATGTTGGTCCAGGAGATAAACGCGTCATGCTTCGTCGCTACGCCCGAGAATACAAGAACAGCGCGGCGCTGTTGTCGCAGATGTTTTTGCATGCTGGGAGCATTCATTGCAGCCCCAACACCGGGGCAAATGTTCATAGTGCTTCTCAAGAAGTGGCCACGGAGAAGTCGCCTTGGCTGAAACGCGTTGTTGCCATGTCAAACCATACAAAGAATGAAAGCAATGGTGAAGATACCCCCTCACTTCCTTCCGTCTCACGCGCTGTTAAGCGTGAGGAGGAGTTGCGGAGTCGCATCTGGGATGCATCATGGTGTACCGTCATTTATCAAGTGACCCCGCGTGAGATGAAGTTCAACATCACCTCGGTTGTTGGAATTGGAAAGGACAACCTTAACGAAGCCATCCAGTGGCTCAACTTGCGTTCACAACCCAAGGCAAAAGCTCCGCACGGGAAAGAGAATCCTTTGCAGAACTACGCATACGATTACGCTCTTCTCTTCTCCACGGAACACCAGGGTTACTATCTTATCGCGGCTACTCACGTTCCATGTGACATTGTGGCTTGTCGTGCAGCTGCGTGAGTCTCCAGCGGTGTGAATGGCATCATCTGCTGATGAAGGAAGAGAAACAACAACAACAACAACAAAACAACAACACAAAAGAAAAACAAAAACACAAACAAACAAACGAAGAAAAAAAAAAAAAAGGAAGTTGAATACACACGTAAGAAGAAAAGGAAAGCAAAAAACAAAAACAAACAAACAAACAAAAAAAAAGATGTGGGAGAAGAGGATTTACGTTTTCTCTGTAGAGTACACGTAAACCATATCATTTGCGCATGCATACAAACACACACACAAAAAAAAACAAATTTTGATGCCATTTGAATTCAGTGAAGCTTCTTGTATTTATGTTGATGTCATTGCTGCTCATTCCTTTTTTTTTTTTGTTTTGATTGCTCTTTTTTTTTCTTCTTCTTTGGAATTAGCGGAAATAACCTGGATTTCCGTATCAACGCACATTGCGCGGCTTAATTGATCTGATAGAGAACACCCATTTATTTAATTGTTTAGAGGGGACGGGATTATATTTTGGATCATAGATTCTTGTGTTGGTTTTTTTTTTTTTTGCATTTTTTATAGTGTTAATAAAGTTTGCCGTCTTTTCACTGTACGTTTGTGCGGTTTTGCCGGAATAAAATTGCATGAGGAGAATAGAAGAGCCATTAAGCTCTGAAATGTACACTACTGATGCGTACCGTTTGCGTATTGAGGCCCTTGAGCGGGCGGAACGTATTTTAGAGCGTCAAGAGGCCGAGCTGGCGGCGAGGGAAAATTTGCTGGAACGGGCAGTTGCCATTGGGATGCAGCCGTCTCAGGAAGGGTGGCAACAACATGTGGAGGATGCACTCAGTTCTCTCCGCAATCGCAGCGCTGTACAAGACGGCGGCAACATTTATAGTGGTGGTGGCGTCCAAAAAGCTACGGCGATGTTAGGGGAGTGGGAGGACCTTGTCGCAAAGTTAGAGAAGCACGCATCACAATGGAGACGCAAAGATGCGGAAATTGCCACTCGTGAACGAGATTTGGCGCGGCGTGAGGCGGCTCTTGAACAGGAACGTCAGAGCCTGCTGCAGGAGAGTGAGCATCTTGCGAATTTACGGGAACGTCTCTCTGCAATGCGTGTTACCGTCGAGGAGCGAACACGCGAACTGAATCTGCGTGAGGCCGAGTTGTTGGCACGTAATGGCAAGGCCGTGGAGGGCGAGGATGGCTGCAAGACGGCTCTTATTGCCCTGCAGGAGAGGGAGGCGAAGTTGAAAGCCGATCGGGAGCGGTGCGACTGTCTTCTTGAGGCGTTATTTGAGCTTTACAGTCGGCTTTTGTTGCATGTCTAACCCCGCAATTAATACCTGCGAGAGCATAAGAAACCGTAAGGAAATCTCGTTATATATACACATATATATATAGTTATTTTCTTTGTCTTTCTCTCTATCTGTGTGTATTTGTGCATATGTATTGCTCATGCATCTGCCGAAAATTATTTGAGGAATACGTGACCAACTTCACAGTTGTTTTTTTCTTTCGTTTTTTTATTTATTTCTTTTTGTGGATGCGTGTGGGTTTTTGTTTTCTGCCTAAGTTACGTCATCTTTTGTGGGCGGACCACCAAGATTTGTGAATGGAGGGAGTTGACTGGCCGCCACGGCTGCTGCTGGTCCTGCGGCGTCACTTGGAGCAGGTGGAGCATCCTGAATTTCCTCGAACCCCGCCATTCTCCACAAACTCTTCCCGAAGAAGCGTCTTGACGTTTCTACTTGACGCTCATGAATGTGCCAGGCGGCTTTCTAAATTGTCGGACTCTTTTGTCGACTGCTGCCGGAATCTTGTTCTTGACATCATCGAGCAGTGCTGCGCCTCCTCTTTTCTTTCTGCAAAGGAGCGACGTGTCATCAATCTTTTGGCGGTGCAGCGGGAGAAGCGGTTGGAGGGGAGGCATGGGCAGAAGCGACGCCACAACGACAGCGACGGCAGCCCAACAGGAACAGCTTCACATAAATGTGCCGCAGTTTTACCTGTGGAGTATCTTCTTCGCTTTTTTATGGCTTTGCCGTCTATTTTAGCACACTACGACAAACTTGGTGGCTCCACCATGCCGTCGGCGTACAAACAGCCTCTCTGGGACTACGTGAACGCCATTATTAGCATCATGAAGGATCTGGATTTTTTTGATCCCGCTGCGTATATTCCTTTGAAATGAAGCACACATAGCGTATGTATCAGAGTGTGCATCTTCCTGCCTTTTTAAAAATTACTCAGAGGCTGTTAGTTGGCATGACTTGGCTGGCTCCTTTGGGTTGCTCTCGGCGGGGATTTTTGGCAAGAGGTCGGCCTTTTGGGCAGCTCCACAAAGGTGTCTTTGACAACCTCTCGTTTACCACCGGCAATATATATATTTTTGCTATTACTTCTTTTTTTTTCTTTATTTTTATTTTTTATTTTTTTCTGTTGGAACTTGTAGGTAGAGCTCCCATGGGATTGGAGCCGGACAACGTGTGTGCTCATTGCACATTTATCAACGCGCCTGGTAGAGTACGTTGCTCCATGTGTTTTCGCAATATTCGAAAACGAATCCGTGAAGGCGCAGCAGAAATTGGGTCCGAATTACATTTGCCACATCTGTCAGTGAGCAATCAATCGGAAAAGCAACAAGAGGGGTGTGTGGCGACACTCTTTTCCACGGCCTCTGGGCAGCCTGTTGTTGTGTCAGAAAAATCGTTACAGGCCGCAAGGGAGAGACTGGACGCCGACGACGCACAGATACCACTGACCCATGGCAATGGGGATGCGGCTGTGGCGACACTCTTTTCCACGGCCTCTGGGCAGCCTGTTGTTGTGTCAGAAAAATCGTTACAGGCCGCAAGGGAGAGAGTGGACGCCGATAATTGCGCAACGCCATGTGATAAAGAGTGTGGTGCTCGTGGAATGAGCGATTCTTCTTCAGCGGCTTCGCCTTCTTTTGTGGGTCCACGACGGGGTTGTTTTGTAGTTCCTTTTGCTCGATCACCACAGCCGCGCCAGGTAGTGCCGCCGAATCGTTTCCAGGATCCGCCTGCAAGAAGAGAGATGAGGTCTTTGTCTTTTGATATTTTTGCATTTTTTTCTTTGCCCATGTCATCTCTTCCATCGAGTTTAGAAGTTGTGCAAAGCACTTTTGCATTCAAGTGTGTGGGGTGCTCTCCGGAACTTTTGCTGCTTCTAGGTCTGAGTGCGGAAGATGACTCTGTGCCCCCCAGGTCCTTCCATACGGCTTTGGTGAGACTGGGGGCTTGCACGAGCAGTTGTTCGGAGAATTGGTGCCAACAGATGCTGAAATCGACTTTGTTGAAACTTCGTGGATTATCGCTTTGCTGTAGCCCGTCACTTCCTGTATTTTCTGTGTCCCACGCTCTTCTGTACCTCTGCTTCAAATACAACCGAGAGTTTGTGGATGGGGTGCGACCAGCGCTGCGTGTTCTGACAGAAGGGGATGTTCCAGCATCATCGTTATTGGTTGTAAGCGTTGTGTGTCTTTCCCTTGAGGAACGTCTTGCGCCACATACTTCTGTGGGTGTGATTTCCGATGGCTGCTATGAAATTAAGGTGGCTCTGGATGTGCCGCTGACGAACCTCGTGCGGGAGGGTATCCTTCGCTGCGGGCATAAGTTATTGGTGTGTGGAGCAAAGATGCTCTTGAAGAATTTCTGCTCTCCAGTCGACTGTCGTGATGATGTGGTCTTGTCGATTAATTACAACTGTACGCGACCGGTGGATCCGACTGCTGCGCTTGGTTTTTACCAAACAAATCCTCCTGTTGTGTCCTCGGCAGCGGTTCACCCGCTCGGTGGACTCGTACCGTCGATACGCGGGGTTGTGGAACGTATTCTTCCACCCATTTTTGTTGAACAGGTGGTTGGTAACGGCGACGCCGTCAGCACCGGTGCGAAGGTTGTGAGGAACCTCCTTGCGCAGTTAAAACGACTTGAGAGCGTTTTACGTGAGGCCGCAGTGCCGTCTGAGTCGACAAACACGCGCCGTCTTGTGCGTCTGACTTCGCTTGTGCTGACGTGTGAGCAGAAGGAGGATGTCATGGTGCAGCTGTGGGAGGATTGTGCGGAGGGATGTGGTGCGGAGTCTCTGGAGGAGGACTGCGGCAGTGAATTTCCCTCCGAGGGGTCCAGTGTTCTTATCTTTGCTCTCACGCCATCTCGGAGTCGGCCTTCGCATCCCTTTCAACATGCCAAAGTCCTGTACACTCGTGCTCGCCTGGATTACAGAGTGATTTCATCACCTAGTGGATTTGTGCGGCCGTTACGGTGCAGCATCAGTGATGCTGACTTGTCGATGCCTGCGGGTGCAGCGACGGATTTTGCTGGTCTTTTTTTGGCTTCCGCAAAAAACGAGGCAGTGAACTCTTTCGTCATTGTCATGTTGAAGAATGAGGAGACAGAGACCCCCTCGTTCTGCATTATGGATGTGCCGTGCGCCACCCCTGTCAAGGAAATTGCGATCACGATGCCCGTAGCTTCCTTTACACCCGTTATTGTACAAAATTCATCCTTCATTCGTTTTGCAGTGGATGACTTGGGACCGGACTGCCTGCACGTCTTGGCAAATGAATTCACGAAGGTCTTACAAAGACCCGCCTCCTCGTATCTCCGTACAGCTATCTCATCTCTCGAATTGGTTCGTGAGAAGGCAATGGGGCGAAAAAGTCTCATGGCCCGTGCGGAGGAGATATTGCGTTTACGCCAGCTGAGTGTTGAGGCACGGACTGACGTGCGTCGTTACTTGGGCGAACTTAATGGTCGCGATGTTCCTCTTGCGGTCGCCTCCGGGAGCACGTCACGGCTGCCGTATTATATGCGCGCGGAGAGGAAGGGCCCTATTTCGAAGGGTGTTGTTATTCCCACACTGCATGCGAGGTCTGAGATGACAGAGGAACAGAAGTCCGTTTTTCCCCCTTCTCCTGCCATTCACCACGGAGAACGGTCCCATATTTTTGGAAATATCATTGAGATGCGTTTAATTCGTGTATTTGATTCCGGTAGACGTGAGTCTGTTTTGCTCCCCATCGGTTTGGCGGCCTCAGATGTTTTGACTGCTGGGCCTGCGGTGCCACAAGAAACGCTTCTTTACGACTCGATTTGTTTTGATCTCGTCATTCAGGTCGGGGCCGTCGCAGAACAGCAGGTGAAGGCCACGATGAAGAGCCCAGCTGTGCTAAGTGGCATGCTGGAGCAGAGGCTTGCCATGCGAAGTGTTTGTGCGGTGGCGGTGGATGAAGGGCAAGTCGACTACTTCATGCAGCGGACAAAAATTCTTGAGACGTGGCAGCGTGCCCCTGAAGAGAGTTGGTGGTGGTTCCTCTCTCTTTCGCATGTCGTCGCGGGGGACTCGCATCCACCCGAGACGGAGGGAACGGCGTTGCTGTGGCTTGAAAGTGAGTGGAGGACACTTATCGACATGCTCTGTGAGGGTCTGAGGGACAGTTTGTTCAAGTTCAGCGTTGACGCGGCCGGCGAGGTGACCCGCGCTGTTTTCCTCAAGGAAAATTGTTCTCTCCGCGAGCTCATGAAGGAGTGATACGCAGGCGGGTGACTAAAAACAAAAAACAAAATAACAACAACAAAACAACACAACAGTCAGCCACAAGAAACAAAACAGAACGCTTTTTTCCCCCTTTCTTTTGCGTGTGTTTTTATCCTACTGCATGTGGATGGCAACCAAAATTTGGTTCTTTTTCTCCTTCTTTTGTAAAAGTGCTACTTTTTTTTTTTTACTGTAATTACTTGCTTCTTTTCTTTTTTTCTTCTTCTTTGTTTTGTTTTGTTTTGTGATGGATGCTCACTGACATCTCAAGAGGACGCGGTGGACAAACGCGTGCTTGTGTGTTTGTGTGTGTTGGTCCTTTTTTTTTTTTGTTCCGCCCACCAGTCAACGGCAGAAGAAGGAGGACACACCGCACCACAAGCCATCATACATTTCCACAAAACCATATAATTATCTATAAATATAAATAAATAAATATATATATATAGAGAGAGAGAGAGTAAGAGAGAAAGAGATAGAGTGAGGGGGCAAGTAAACAGAGTTAACAAGAGCCGCAAGGCCAAAGAAGAAACAACAACAACAACCAAAAACGATAAAAACAACAGCCAGAAAGTCGATGGGCACCCAACCCATTGTTCAGCTGCTGGAGATAGAGCTTCTTGGGGACAACCCCGCTTCATATACGCAGGGGTTACACTGGCGTATGCGCCTAGAAGCCCTGCAGGCGCTGCAGGATCCCATTTCGGTGGCGTTTGTCTGGGTGGGTAGCGCATCGTCGGCAGACTACGACCAAGTGCTAGACTCTTTTGACATTGGCCCACTTGAGAGGGGCACCACGGAGCTCACGATGGAGTGTGACCCGCCGCAGGTTGAGTTAGTGCCCCCGCAGGAAGTGCTAGGCGTCACTATTCTTGTGATCTCATTTCAATATCGGGGGCAGGAGTTTCTGCGGGTTGGTTACTACACACAGGTGGCGTACTTCGATGTGTACCTTAACCAGTGCCCGCCAGAGTTTCCACACGGGGACCTGTTGGGGCGTTTCATCGCAATGCCGCGGCCAACCGTCACAGTGACGCCCATCGCGTGGGATGAGGCGCCCATGAAGTGAACACGGCGGGAGGGGGGCATACAAGGGAGTGGCAGGGCGGCTGCTTGGAGGAGACGTTAGACCCATGTGAGAGCGACAGGAACGAGAAACCGACAGGAAGAAAGGGATGAAACGTGACGAAGTTTTTTTTTTTTTTTGATTTGTGCTTTTTTCTTAAAAAAAAAAGAAAAAAAATATTTGTTTTGGCTTTATTTCTCTTTCTCTTTCTTTTGATTTTTTTTTTTTTTTTTTTGCCGCTGCCTCTGCATGTTGTTTTTAGACATTTATTCATCCGCCACTCGCTTCCCAACCCTCGCTTTTTTGATCGTTGCACAGATTTGGAGGCTACTCATGCACGGTGAGAGTGGGAGGGGGAGGGGAAAAAAAAAAAGAAAAGAAAGAAGGAGAGAGACGAAGCGGCATGGAGCGGAATTATGGAAGCCTTCAACGTCGTTTGAAACATTCCCATCCATCACGTCTCGTTCATTGTATACACGCATACATATGTATACATATTTACTTATTGGATTTTGATGCCGACGATCCAGATTGTTTGGGTGGCACTCCTCTTTTTTCTTTTTTCTTCTTTCTTTTTCTTAATTTTTTCTACATTTATCTTTTATTTTTTATTTTTTTGTTGTGTACACATTTTTAGGCAAAAAAGGGGATCTTGTTAGTTTCCCTCCCTTCTCTCTCTCTCTCTCTCTCTCTCTCTGTGGCGCCGGTGTTAGGCGCGGAGAACACCGGAGAAGAAAAAAACCTTCTAACGGCACGAAGCACGGAGATGCTCAGTGAAAGATTTGTGGATGACATGCTGAGGGACGGCCATGCATGGAGACGAGCATTGAAACAGTGTGACACGCAGGAGTGCCTTGCGCCGTCATCAAGGGCGGCAAAATCAAACATGGGACCCGTTTTTCGCCGCGGCTGCACAGACAACGTATGCAGCCTACGGTTTGTAAGCACCCTGCGGGCTCCCACGGATACTCTCAATATTCAGGAGAAGGAGCGAACGCTGCGGCAAAGAATGCGGGGGAGGTGGAACCCCAGCACAAAGCCAATCAACAGTCAACGCGACATACTTTTAGAACTTCTTCAACGCCAACTGGAGCTTCACGGATTTGCCACAGCGTATAAGGAATCCCGTGACACATTACTGAAAGAGCAGAGAGGGGTGGAGTCGTTTTATCGTCAGCAGCGGGAGAAGAGAAAAATATTAGAGAGAGCAGCCCGACACGTAGCGCAACAACAAGAGGTTTTTATGGAAGAATCCCAGATGCGACAGAAGCTGCTCGAAGTTGAGAGACGGAAACGAGCATCTATTGCGGCGTCCATGTTTCATGGAGCATTTATTATTGCTACCAATGTTGAATTTGCTGAGAGAAAAGCCATTTTTGAAGAGTTCAATGAACAGTACGCCATCATTGTCAACGAGGCACATCATGCACTGCAATCCATTACAGGACTCCCATACTCCCTTTATAAGTCTCTTGTGTCACTTCAAAGAAGGGAGGGGAAGGCCCGGGGGCAAATTGTACTTTCCCATATCAAACACTGTGATTCCCTTAAAATGTACATGAATATCGCAATTGACAATTGCCTTAAAGCGGAAATTGCACAAGTTATTGCGAGGGAAAAGCCTTTTTTAGAAGTCCTACAAATGAAAAACAAGAAGCAGAAACACAAATTTATTCAGTAAGCTGTAACAAACGCACAAAGCAAACCATAGACATTATCTTTCTCCACAAGAACGTTTTTACTCTACCATTCACAACATTAACGCATGGAAAAAAGTGTTATTAAGCCATTCAGAGTTGCGTGTTCGACCGCGCTTGCTGGGAGGAGTGGCACTTGGCAACTCCGGCATCTCGCCACTTGTTTGTTTGCGCACTCTTCTTCTCTCGCCCTTTTTTCTTGTCTTCCCCACAGATTGTGCTAGGCCCTTTTACAAACTCCCACAAACCTTTTAAAAAACCCACTTCCCATCGAGCAGAAGAAATACCAGGGACATTTGCCGATGACCAACCCGTACCTGTGGATCGCCGTTGTTGGCGGCATTCTCGCCTTCCTTACCGGATGCGGCGTGGGAATGAACGACCTGGCCAACGCCTTTGGCACGACGTATGGCTCCCGCGTGCTGACGCTGAAGCAGATTGTTCTTGTTGCTTCAATCTGTGAGTTTGCTGGCGCCGTGTCCCTTGGTGGCGAGGTGACCTCCACGATCGCCGGCGGCATCGCCGACTCGTCGCACTTTGCAAGCGAACCCTACGTTTTGATGTACGGCATGCTGTGCGCGCTTGGTGCTGCCTTCGCGTGGTTGCTGCTTGCGACTGCCCTGACCCTTCCCGTCTCGTCGACGCACAGCATTGCGGGAGGCATCATTGGCTTTTCGCTTGTGTACGGTGGCGCCAACAGTGTCTCGTGGGCGAAGAAGAAGAGCGAATTTCCCTTCGTGACGGGCGTGGTGCCGATCATTACGTCGTGGTTCATCTCGCCGCTGCTTACGGGTCTTGCCGCTGCGGCTGTGTACGGCCTTATCCGCACGCTGGTGCTCCGTCCGGCGAACTCGGTTCAGCGGGCACTGTACTCTGTTCCGGTCATCTTCGGTGTGGCGTTCTTCCTGGAGTCCTTCTTTGTGCTGTTCAAGGGTGCCAAGTCGCGTCTTCACTGGCCAGTGGAGAAGGCCCTGTGGGTTGCCGCCATCATTGGCGTTGGCGCCGGCATTGCCTCGATCGCCCTTATTCCCCTGCTGAAGCGCCGTGTGAGATTGATGGTGGAGAAGGCAGAGCGCCAGGCGGAGGAATTGGGCTGCGGTGCTGCTGAGCTGGGGCAAGGGGCTGAGGCTGATCCCTCTGCGGAAAAGGTTGAGTGTGCTCCTGCTGCTGACGGCACCGCGTGTGGAAATATAACTTCGTCGAGCACGGCGCAGTCTGAGGAAAAGGTGGACAAGAAGTTCATTGAGCCCATCACAGGGGCGTTTGTGGGCGATGCGGAGAAGAGCTCGGAGAGCGAGCACCGAGGGACGGCTGCTTTGCCGACAGTTACTGCGCAGCTGTTCGACAAACGCGTGGAGTACGTGTTCCGTTACCTGCAGGTTTTCACGGCCATATGTGCATCCTTTGCGCATGGTGCGAGCGATGTGAGCAATGCGGTGGGGCCGTTCGCTGCCATCTACTCCATCTACCAGACGCGGGTGGTGGAGTCGAAGAACGAGACGCCAATCTGGATTTTGTGCATCGGTGGCGGCGGTCTCGTGCTTGGTCTTGCGACGCTTGGTGTGAGGATCATGAGGCTACTCGGCGAGCGCATCACGAAGATCACCCCGAGCCGAGGCTTCTCTGCAGAGCTCTCTACTGCGATGGTTGTTTCGTTTGCCTCTGGCTACGGCGTGCCGATCTCCTCGACGCACTGCATCACTGGCGCCGTGATTGCAATCAGCATTGTTGACGTTGGCTTCTGGAATGTGCGCTGGATCATTGTTGCGAAGCTCTACGCCGGCTGGATGCTGACTCTTGTCGTCTGTGGCTTGATCTCTGCACTGTTTTTTGCACAGGGAATCTACGCACCAAGTCGGGCCACGTGAATAGAACGTTTTTGCAATTTATTTGTTTGGAGCCTTTTGTGTTTGCAGTGTGGCTGGAGGCAGGCAAATTATATAAAAAAATTTTACTCAGGAAATATTTGACGTAAGTTTATTGTAGGAATAAGTGGCATATTGCCCTGCGCATATATATACATATACATATATATGTGTGCATGCTGTAGGATGGAGCACTGAACATCGTCGCCATTCTTTTTTTAATAAATCTTTTTTTTTTTGCCGTAACAGGCCTTGTAACCAGGAGAGGACTGAAAAACGGGATGTGTTGTGTTTTTGTTGCGGCTTCCCGAGCATCTCCTATTTTGTAGCATCAGTCACACGACACTGGCGCTGTGTGGGCAACCGTGTTTACACGTTGTCGTCTGCGGTGCATTGTGAGTGTGGGGGGTGGGTGTGTTCTTTTTTTTTTATTTAATAAAGATTGTTTCTGCGAAGGGGCAGCGGGGACACCGCACGACGACCGCTCCTTGTTGCTTCGCAGGAGAATCGAGATATTAGGGAATAAAACAATTTTTTTTAAAGTGCTGAACTCGCTCTGAGGGTTTATTGGGAGGCTGCGTGATGCCGTCGTGACGCAACGAATGGAATTTATTGCCGTTATGCGTTTTTTTAAATATGTGTGCGTGTATGTGTCGGGCGTCGTCAGCTTCATGGATGAGAACAAGGTTACTTGTGGGGAAGCTGTGTGCCCGCACCTGTTGTGGGAAACAAAAGCGACCGAGACTATAGGCGTCGTGGTACAAATTTGATGGTTGTTTTTTGTTTTGTTTTTTTCGCGCCCGCACCAATTCTCTTTTGTGTAATCACTCAAAAGTGAAGGGCACGTGAGAATGTGTCGGGAGCCCACATAATCCGCAGCTATGCCCCATGGAGTATGCATCTCCGTGCAGCCGGCACCCTAAGTGTGTAGCTGAACGCAAAGGAAAGTTTGCCACTGGAGAAGCATCACTTTGTGCAAATACCCGTTTTTACGAGGGTTTCACACAAACACACTCTCTTAAAGTGCCTCCTCACAGTGCTCTAAGAGGAAACGACACGATGCTGGGAGGAGTGGCACCTGGCAACTCCGGCATCTCGCCACTTGTTTGTTTGCGCACTCTTCTTCTCTCGCCCTTTTTTCTTGTCTTCCCCACAGATCGTGCTAGGCCCTTTTACAAACTCCCACAAACCTTTTAAAAAACCCACTTCCCATCGAGCAGAAGAAATACCAGGGACATTTGCCGATGACCAACCCGTACCTGTGGATCGCCGTTGTTGGCGGCATTCTCGCCTTCCTTACCGGATGCGGCGTGGGAATGAACGACCTGGCCAACGCCTTTGGCACGACGTATGGCTCCCGCGTGCTGACGCTGAAGCAGATTGTTCTTGTTGCTTCAATCTGTGAGTTTGCTGGCGCCGTGTCCCTTGGTGGCGAGGTGACCTCCACGATCGCCGGCGGCATCGCCGACTCGTCGCACTTTGCAAGCGAACCCTACGTTTTGATGTACGGCATGCTGTGCGCGCTTGGTGCTGCCTTCGCGTGGTTGCTGCTTGCGACTGCCCTGACCCTTCCCGTCTCGTCGACGCACAGCATTGCGGGAGGCATCATTGGCTTTTCGCTTGTGTACGGTGGCGCCAACAGTGTCTCGTGGGCGAAGAAGAAGAGCGAATTTCCCTTCGTGACGGGCGTGGTGCCGATCATTACGTCGTGGTTCATCTCGCCGCTGCTTACGGGTCTTGCCGCTGCGGCTGTGTACGGCCTTATCCGCACGCTGGTGCTCCGTCCGGCGAACTCGGTTCAGCGGGCACTGTACTCTGTTCCGGTCATCTTCGGTGTGGCGTTCTTCCTGGAGTCCTTCTTTGTGCTGTTCAAGGGCGCCAAGTCGCGTCTTCACTGGCCAGTGGAGAAGGCCCTGTGGGTTGCCGCCATCATTGGCGTTGGCGCCGGCATTGCCTCGATCGCCCTTATTCCCCTGCTGAAGCGCCGTGTGAGATTGATGGTGGAGAAGGCAGAGCGCCAGGCGGAGGAATTGGGCTGCGGTGCTGCTGAGCTGGGGCAAGGGGCTGAGGCTGATCCCTCTGCGGAAAAGGTTGAGTGTGCTCCTGCTGCTGACGGCACCGCGTGTGGAAATATAACTTCGTCGAGCACGGCGCAGTCTGAGGAAAAGGTGGACAAGAAGTTCATTGAGCCCATCACAGGGGCGTTTGTGGGCGATGCGGAGAAGAGCTCGGAGAGCGAGCACCGAGGGACGGCTGCTTTACCGACAGTTACTGCGCAGCTGTTCGACAAACGCGTGGAGTACGTGTTCCGTTACCTGCAGGTTTTCACGGCCATATGTGCATCCTTTGCGCATGGTGCGAGCGATGTGAGCAATGCGGTGGGGCCGTTCGCTGCCATCTACTCCATCTACCAGACGCGGGTGGTGGAGTCGAAGAACGGGACGCCAATCTGGATTTTGTGCATCGGTGGCGGCGGTCTCGTGCTTGGTCTTGCGACGCTTGGTGTGAGGATCATGAGGCTACTCGGCGAGCGCATCACGAAGATCACCCCGAGCCGAGGCTTCTCTGCAGAGCTCTCTACTGCGATGGTTGTTTCGTTTGCCTCTGGCTACGGCGTGCCGATCTCCTCGACGCACTGCATCACTGGTGCCGTGATTGCAATCAGCATTGTTGACGTTGGCTTCTGGAATGTGCGCTGGATCATTGTTGCGAAGCTCTACGCCGGCTGGATGCTGACTCTTGTCGTCTGTGGCTTGATCTCTGCACTGTTTTTTGCACAGGGAATCTACGCACCAAGTCGGACCATTTAAGTGATTTAGGTTTATTTTATTTTGTAGCAATATATATATATATATATTTTAGGCATTTTCTTCCCATTTTTTTAAAAAAAGAATTTGATGTTTTATTTTATTTTATTTATTTTTTTTAGTTTTTTAGGATTTTTTATTTTGTTTTAAATGGATGTGTGTTTTCTTAATACGTAGCTGAGTGATTTTACCCCCTATTAACAACAGACCAATTTTTTTATTTTTTTGTCATTATTTATTTATTTTTTTTTTTTACTTACGGGTTGTCGTGGACTTTAAGATGCGGTTGCGGGGATTAATGGGCGTCATTATTGTCTTTATTGTCTTTAGTACTACTACTGTTATTTATTTATGTGGGTTTTTTTTTTTTTTTGTGACATATGCGGGGATGATTATATATAATGTATATAATGTATACGTGTGCATGTATGTATAATCTGTGCCTGATTACGAATACAGACCCGTAGCTGAAGGTCCACTGTGAAGTTGCTGGCGAGGTGTGTGGGTACCGTCAGCGGTCTGGGATTTTTACCCTAACCCCTTTTCCTACCCCCTTTTTTCCTTCCCCCGCCGTGTAGCATCTTTCTGTTGGCGTTCTTTGACGTTTACGTTTGTTGCTGGGGGGTGAACGGTGGCTGTTTTTTTTTTTTTTCTTTTGTAGCGCGGCGCCAATAGATTTTAACCAGGCGGGGAAGGCAGGCAGGCGGAGGGGGGGGGGGGATCTCTGCACCGACTGCTTCTGTTGCGTGTTGGTTCCGGAGGCCACCCTAATTTGACTCCCGTTTTTCTGCTCTCCCACAGTTGCTGCCGTTCCCTATATAAAACAGTGTTAATTAAAACGAGGGCGGTGGTGGCGGGCGGAAGGGCGGCGGTGGGGTTTAAAAAAAAAAAAAATTTTTTTTTCTTTTTTTTCTTTTTTCTTTGTTGTTCTTTTTTTGTTTCTGTCGTTCATATTACTGGGGTATATGCCAGCATAAGAAAAAGGAAATAATTTTTTTTTTTTTTTGATTTTATGAAATTCTTTGTAAGCGGCGGGGCTTTTCGCACAATGTAAGAGCTGGGTGGCCGCAGGGATCGGGTTTGGGACTTCGCGCTTTTTTTTTTTTTTTTTTCTGCTTTAGAATAAAACCTTTTTTTTTAATTTAATTTTATTTTTTATTTATTTTTTTTATTCTTTTGATTTTTTCTAAATATATATTCATCGAACTCTGCGGCGGTGCGCTGCGGGCGATTTGTGGGTTCACGTGCATTATGTGACAGTCACCTTCCACCCCCCAATTGTGGCCTGCCATTTGCTTCTTTTCTACCCCCCCTTTTTTTTTTCTCTTTAAGGGAGAGTGGGATGTTGGGACATTTTCAGCGCGATGTGCGTGGTGGAAGTTCCTCCCGACGCAAACTTCCGCGCTCTGTTGTCGGTGAGCGCTCTGAGGAGGGTAGCGGTACGTCGAAGGACCCTTTTGTACTTTCCCTGCGTGAGACCCCGAATAGGAGTGGATGTTACCACTGCATTGAGGATTGCTGCGAATGCCTCTGGATAACGGAGCTGTTGGCAGTTTGTTATGGGTCTTTGCCAACAAGAAGGCAAGTGATGACGTATCGGAAGAGGGAGTGGTGCGCCAAGTCTATTCTTCCTCCGTTTGTTGCCCGAATCGTGAGAGTTGCGAAGATCTCCTCGCACGACACGTTCTACGATTTGGGCTGTGGAAATGGAAGTGTTCTCTT